ACCAAATTCATTCCTTTACCCAACCTTCAAATTACCCTCAACAAACCTCCATAGCCCACCTTAGCAAATCCATAGTGATCTCTCAACACTCACCATACACTGAGGAGAAGCCATTCCAAGAAGCAGAGACGCGAGGGAGAAAGAAGAGGAAATTGTCGCGAGAAAGAAGGTGGTCGCGATTGAAAAGGGAGGTAAAAATGTGTTTAAATTGTTGTTTCTGAACGTGGTTATGGATTTTTGAAAATCGTTTCCTTTTTACTGTTCATGGTGTGCGTTTCGTGTTTGAGAGAAGGAGGAGAAACGGCTGTGACTTATTTCTGAATTAGGTTTTTTCTTTCTTTCTATTAACATTCCCCTATCAATTGTGGACCGGGCTCTAGTCCCATGTGTTTTTTTCTTCTTGCCCACCCAGTTCACTCGATGCACCCCTGGACGAAAATCATGGGCTTAGGTAAACAAAGCCCATGCAATTCTTGGCCCATTGTTTCTTTTCAGCCTGCACCCTTCATTAGTCTAGTAGATTAGAATTAACTATTTAATTTTAACTAGATTTTAATTTAATTAGTTAATTAGTTTTTTAATTAGAATTTAGTTAGTTAGTTTTAGTTAATTGGTTTTTTCGATTAATTAGATGTGGTTTGATCATATTTTATTTTTAGGTTAATCTTGACAATCTTCGTTTTCATTTTAGTTAATTCTTGATATCCAATGTTGAATTTAATTCTTGATGCATTTGGCTGTGATTAAGCCCCGATCTTTGATTCCTATTCTCTTGTGGCTTTTAGATCTATTATAATTTTCCTGTTTATTTCATTCCAAAGGAAAGGATCACACTTTTTTACTGCCATGTCATAGTTAGGATAGCCCTGCCTGGAGGTGAGAAAAACACTTAGAAGGGGGGGGGGGGGGGTTGAATAAGAGTTTTAAAACACTTTGGGAGATAAAAATTAACACATATATTTTTATCCTGGTTCGTTTAAACTCAAACTAATCCAGTCCACCCTACCCAGGTGATTTTCCTTTCTCAACAAGGACTTAATCCATTATATCAAACTTGATTATAGTGTAAACCACTAAGACAACTGTCTTAGTCTTCTCAAGAAAATCTGACCACAACTTGGTCTTCTCAAGGAAATCTTTTACAAAGATAAACTAACAATTTGTGTTAAAGGTTTTGCTTCTAATAAGCTATATCACAACAGTGATGTTTACACAAAATTAAGAAAAAATATGAAAACTGTTAAGCTTTGAAGAATATTTGAATGAGAGCTTGTAAGTTGATTTTCTTTCAAATGATTCGTCAACATTGGAAAGATGCTTAAGCTTGTTTAAATACTACTTCAAGTCTTTATCTCAAAGACTGTGCATGCTGTACGTTCTGCTGCTTCTGTTGCCTTTTTGTCCTCTAATGACTTTTCCTTTCCAGAAAGAGGAATGTTCAGACATGTGCTTTGTGTCTAAATTCTTGTGTCATGCATAAATGAGGAATAGTGTCGTTGGAGCAGACGTTGGGATTAACAACGGATCTTTTCTTTGAGCTGGCATCTTTTCAACTGAATAAACTAACATCAGATCCTCTGACGTAGTTCCTTGTTCTTCATATCAGAGTCTTGCAGCAATAGTGCTTAAAGCGTGAATGTTACAATCAGCGCAGAGTTGAATATCAGAGCCTCTGTACTTGCAGCGTGAAGTACCTTCAGAGTCTTCTGAAACAATGCTGTAACGCTCTTTCTCAAATTCTTCTTAGTCTCACTCAGAGTCAGCTGTAGCAGATTAGAGTCTCTTCAAGCAGCGCTCAGAGTCTTCTGAAATGTTGCTTCTGACGCTCAGAGTCTTAACGTTCTTTTCACATGTAGATGTAATTTTTGCTTCCAAATGAATATATAATTTAAGATCTGAAACAAAATTACTTAAACACAATTAGAGTTTATATTTCCTTTATGCAAAATTTCATTTATGTTATCATCAAAACAATGAGATATATTAAACACCAATCTGTGTTCTAACACTGTCCGCCTTTCCCTCGAAACCTGGTTAGAGTATTATCCCTTTCATCTTTGCTTTAGGATTGGAGTCACCGCACTCCATGTAAGTTTCATGGTAATGAACACTTACTTTCTCATTTAACCTAGCCTTAGGTTTGGAGTCGCCACACTCTATATAAGTGTCATGGTTATAAACACTTACTCCCCATTAGAACCTTGACCATAATCAAGAGTTTCTCACCCCTAGTTAGGTGAACTACGGAGGCTCTGATTCCTCATTCCTAGTCAGGATACGTAGGCACAAGATGCAATATCTTGGCGAGCCCAATAAACCACTAAAAACTAACAAATAACTCCCTTATCTCATGCCTCTGTACGACCGAGACTAGTTTACCTTACCCTTTATCCTAGCCTTAGAATTAGAGTCGTCGTACTCTATGTGAGTGTCATGGTTATAAACACTTACTTTCCCCTGTTATCCTAGCCTTAGGATTTTGAGTCGCCGCACTCCATGTAAGTTCCATGGTTATGAACACTTACTTCCCTTTGGAACCTTGACCATAGTCAAGAGTTCCTCACCCGTAATTAGGTGGACTACGAATGCTCTGATTCCATCCTAGTTAGGATATGTAGACACGAGATGCGATGTCTTGGCGAGAATACTTTGTATATATCTTAGGTTTTTACCTAAGAACCTTTCCCTTAGCAAGCAAACTTTAGCATAACATAAATACAAATAAGAGGTTCCTGTAGATTACTACAGATACTTAGGATGCTAACACCTTCCCTAGGTATAACTAACTCCTGAATAAATTAGGCGACTAATTTATTCAACTAATTTATTCATAATCATTGATATTCAGTAACCAATTCGAGGATTGAAATTATTTTAGTTTTTTTTGTTGTGTAGCATTAATTTTAAATAATAAATAAAATTAGATGAGTAAATAATTGATAAAATATCAATAGAAAAATATATTATTAATAATAAATATAATTAGCAAGAAAAATTGGCTTGTTTTCGTTTATTTTCTCTTCATTTTCTTTAACAATTAAAGTGAAAAAAACTACTCTAGCATTTTATTTTGGAGTAATAGACAGGCCAAATGACATAATAACAAGCATGCCCCCTCAATCATGTCTATACCAACGTTGTTGTTTTAGTTGTAGCTACCTAAGTAAGGTTCATAGTAATTACTACAACACCAACAGGCAACAACCCAGGGCCTGGCAATAACTGAAAGTCCTAGATAGTGATGGATTTAGACAACTGAGAAACTTATAGGGCTCCACGACTCTGGTCTCTACTTAAGATCCTATTTTGATTCAAGCATAAACTGCCCCCCACAATCTCTTATTTATTTTCACAAAGCAGCTGGAAATTTGTTGTCAAACAGATAGGAAGATAAGTTTGCTGATTGTGATTGAGAAGTGCTTTCAATGTTACATGCAGTTGGCCTTTTGTATTTATGAATAACTTCTAACCTTGACTAGGCCTCATTCATACCTATCTAAAGGTGTTGGTAATTTGAGACTTTGTAGCTATCATTCTTTTGAGCTAGATGACAAAATATCTCATCAGTGTGTCATGACACAGAGATAATAGGTGAATACATCAAAAATAATTGTGATGACATGATTTTATGAGATTTTGAAGGAAATGCCTCAAATTAAATGTATATAGGGAAACAAACTTATGATTATCTAAATTATATTCCCTCCATTTGCAATTTTTACTTTTTAATTTATTAAATAATTAATATATTTAAAAATGTTTTTATGTGTACTATAAGCAGTTTACCTATGCTTTCTTAAAAACTTTACAAAAATACATTTAAAAATATTTATGGAAAATATCATAGCATATATTTGAAACCTTTCTACCACCATTTTCACATCCTATGAACTTTTTAATATGATTTTGTGAAGTTAGAAAAAAAGGACTTCTATTGTAAAATGACAAACAATATCATAAAACTTATGTCAAGAAATAAGTTAGAATAGACCTATTCAAATATATCTAAATAGAATATTTTAAATAGGTCAATATATCCACACACTTAATAATTCTCATTGAATTGGTTGGGTTTACCTTTTATTGAGTTATGGAATCATAATAAATTCAATTTCTTGCAATACAGGTTGGTCTGCTGGTAAATAATTGAATCTTGAAAGTATGTTTTTTTTTAAGAATTTAAATTTGAATCACACTAAATATTATAGTAATTCTTGTGCTAGGCTTGTTCATATAAAGTTTTATTTTGACTTTAAATAAATCTTAGATAAACCTCTCGACTAGTAAGATTAGTCCCCTTGAATATTTTTAAAAATCTTATTTCACAAAAAAAAAAGTGCACCCTATTTTCCCATCTCCTTTACCCATATAACTACAAAGGAAGTTAAATGATTGCATTCTAACACTTTTGGGTCCCTTCCACATATTTATCCTAAAATTGTTAAGGTAAGGTATTTCCAATAAAAGATACTACTCCAAAAGAAAAAGCCTCAAGTTGTGCCATGGAGAATGCAATCATTTATTCATCATTGATCTCTATCATGTTTTTCATCCAAAAGATCATGTTAACCCCATCCCTATTCCACACCTTAATTATTAGCCCCCACATATTATCCACAACCAAAATCCTCAAGATATTGACATAAAAGGAAAATCATATTAAAAAAGGAGAAGAAAAAAAAAGTTATAAAAAGAATCCCCATGTCAACATAAGTTGAGTTGTAATGGATTTTGTGTATATATCAGAATCTCATGGACTATGATCTTGAAAAGGAAATAATTAAAATTGATAACAATATATAAAAGAGAACACAAAAAGATAGGATCAACCAACCAATCAAATTCTCCCATTTTAAAGTGGGCCATACGCTCCATCTTCTTATGCACAAAGGGCCGCGCCGTTTGCTACCACTTTGTCTCCATTTCCATTTCTTCCCTCAAATTTACATAATCTTCAAAATTAAAAATAAAGAAAATAAATTTATTAAAACAAAAAAAAATTAAAACCTAGCATTTTCGAAGCCGTGTAAGTCGCTGACTTTATTCAAAGACTTCTTGACCATAGCCATCTTAGCCAGCATCTCAGCCGCTCTCCAAGCCGATGTAGGTGTAAGCGGCTCACCATTTTCATCCACCATATTATTATTCACCTCTCTCTCAACTCCTCGTCTTCTTTGCATCACTTGTTGCTGCTGAGCCTCAACATGAACCTGTTCTTGCTGTCTCCTCCAATGAAGCTCTGCAAGCTCGGCTTCCAAGCCGCGCACGTACTGTTCAGCCGAAGCCGAGCCAGATTGAATCAAAAGCGCACGAGCTGAAGATAGTAAATGATGAGCGCTAGTGAAGTCGCTGTTGTGATCTAGAAGCCTCCTCGACTCAGCTATGGCTCGGGTAGTTATGAACAGATTTCTCAGCCTTTCGATCCTGGTTTGTGATGATCGTACGGTCTGAGACTGGTTCTGATGTAGCTGCACTGTAAGTCCCTGTTCTCTACCGTATACTATCTCTTGACTTGCGGGGTCCTTATAAAGACACCGTACCGTCATCACATGGTGGGTCCCCAAAGCTGAAGCTGGAACTCTCATCTCAACTAATAGCTCTCTTTCTTCTTCAGCGTATAAATCGCCGAGCCGTACGGCTCCTAGGCTCAGCAGCGTGGGCCTCCCACTGCAAGAATAGATAGCACTAATTTCGGCCCGCGCCGAATCAGACTGAAAGCCCAATTGAACTCTCAAGTCCTGAACTACAACACTCAAAAGCCCACCAACACATTTAGCAAAAGCATCCTCCCCCGGTTCGTGACTGTACCCGGTTTTACTACCGAACCCAAATGCGTGAACCGGTATTTCAATGTGAGCGAACCGGGTCGAAGAAGCGTGGCTCCATGTCTTCCGTTGATTTTGTTTGTTACTGTTATGAACCTTTTCATCTTGACCGTCGGATAAAAGCATTACGCTAGCTACCGGGTTTCTTTCTCTACGATCCTCCAATACTCTTGTTGCTTTCCTCAAAGCCTCACCTAAGCCGTTTCCTTCACCGGTGACAAGCCGGTCCACGATGCGCCGAGCCATACGCTGACCTTGAGCCGTCATTCTTCTCAATGGTAAGAGTCGTTTGGAAATAGCAGAAAAAGCCACAATACAAAGCCTATCAGCTGGTCCTAGAGAGGAAATAACCAAACGCATCGCGCGCTTCAGCATGTGAAGCTTTGCACTCGTCATGCTTCCACCAACATCAAGCACTGTTACGAGATCTATCGGTGCTCGCCGTGAAGGATCAAGAGTGCTGCTTCCGCCACGGAGCGGCGGCGGTGCTTTCACTTTTAAAACCAAAGCGTATGTTTCGTGTGTTCGGGAAACTGATACAACTGCACACTCCGGCATTAACTTCACTTGAACAGTTCTTGAGTCTCCGTCACCGGATTGTATATCGTCGGAGTACGATTTGTTAGCTGAAGTAGATTTCGTGTTAACAAAAAATCCTTGAAACTCGCCGCTGTCATCCTCTTCGTCTTCCTCATTTTCATCAACTTCTGGAATAGTGATTATCCTTCCACCACCGGCGGTAGGAGAAAGGAGAGGCTCATCATCGTCATAAGATCTCGTAGATTCAGATTGCTTTGGTTGTTGATACTGTTGTTGAGACTGATTCAAGTTCTTGGTTCTGAAAACCGGAGAAGGACTTTCCGTTTGTTTTGAATCACGTACATTGGAGTTATCAATAGTTGTGTGAGATTGTGGAGCAGCGAGATTCTTGTGCGCCGCTAGTAGAGGAACGTCTTTCCATGTGGCGTTGCAGACAGGGCAAACGAGAGTAGCATGGTTGCGTACATGTGCTGCGATGCACGGGAAATGAAAAGCATGTGCACATTCTGCCGTGTAAATAGCCATTCCTTGTCCCGTTTTCACACTATTCAAACAGATTCCACAGCTATTCTGGTTTAAAAAATCAAATCAAGAATCAATATCATTCATTATTCGGAATTGGATCTCATCAAAATTTAAATATGGATGAAAAGTATATACATACCCTGAATTTGAAGCTGTTCTTGAAGAGAGATAACTTCAAAGGAGAGCGAGGAGAATTTGGATTCGAAGCTGAGTTTGCTCTTGGAGATTTTGTTAGCCTTGGAGTGTTAGTTTTGCTTTGAAATCTGGGGCTATCATTTGTTTGAGAAGCTGCTTCAGTTATTGTACGACAACGCAGGCTTGGACTTGAAGCTGGTTGAGATTGATTCAACCGCGGAGTGGAACTATTACTATTACTACCACCTCCAGAAAGAAAACTCAACCGAGCACAGCTTCTCGGGCTTGGGCTCGGGCTTCGGTTCTTCTTGTTATCTGATATAGTAGATTCAGGGTCGCGTGTACAAAAGGCTCTTCTCCATCCAGTACCCATTTTTTTCCCTCACGAAAAGTCGCTACACTTTTTCTATCCTTGATAAGAGAAAGATAAGTTTTGTTTGTTTTGGCTTTGAGAAAAGCAAAAAGATCTATGCAATTAAAAGCCTCGAGAGAGATCTATCTATCCTCTCTCTTTCTCTACCTGGTTGTTTGTATTTATATATTTCTTTCTTCTTGCTTTTGTTAATAGAGTTGTGAAAATATTTATTTATCTACTCTACTCTAATTAAACAGGTTTTTACCTAATTATTATGTAAACTAGTCAACGCTTCCACATTTAATTAATCATTAATCATTTCAATTATTTTATAATAATTATGTGAGCAATTAAATACGGATCACCGATCAAGTTGATCATCATCATAATAACCGAACAAACTGCTATATGCAGAACCCATGCACCCACATTGCAAACCAACTTTGCAAGATGTAATAAATTTAATTTTATTAATATTAAAATTAACATTAATTATTGTCGGTTTGATTCGTCCCATCATGTTCACAATTGTGATGAATTATTCACAAGAAACACATTGCTTATTTTCAATTGGGACCACTAAGTAGGGTTAGTGACTACCAATTGTGACCATGGATGATTAAGGTTACTGTATAAACTGGTAGTGTTTGGTTGTTTTTTAGTATACAGTAATGTAACAACCATGTATATATTAATCCAATATTTACGTGACATTAAATTCGGATTACAGTATTGTAATTTTTGTACAGTAAAAACCTATAGGCATGTGTCAGTTATAGAGCTAAAAATTGAAACTAGACTAGTACTATTTCATGCATGTCACACTGTAGTATTTAAATAAACATGAATAGGAATACAAAAAGGTGAAAACATTGATGGCAATAAAAAGTGTCAGAATTACTACTACTATATAAATGACTCACTGATCAAAACATCCATATGACCCGTCCTTTCTTGGTGTGTCAGTAGTTTGGAGACCTATGCGCTTAGGGCCCCTCATCCCAAACCCATACCCTACAAACTCTTTTTACTTGGTGCAACCATTACTCACCTTATTGTTATCTTACCTTTTTTTTTCTTTTTTATTAGAATTTCGTTCTATATTCAAACATATATTTGAGAATTTTTTACCACTATTAAAAGGATTGATGTATTTATGCATAATTGAGCTTGGTTTTTTATATATATAACTTCTCCACCTTATATGCATAATTGGATAAAGAGTATAAAAAAATAACTAATTATCCTAAAAATAGTAAAAATCTAACTTCCCCAACTATTATTAAATAATAATACAGTCCAATACCCTCTGTTAAGGTGGAGGAAAATCGATTAAGATTCCGAGTTTGGAAAAAATAAGAGTGAATGGATAGGAATCAAGCGGTTTGGTTAAAATATCTACAAGCTGTGCAGAGCTAGGGATAGGTAGAAGTTGAAAAAGTTTAGCAATCAGTTTTTTGCGTACGACATGGAATCAATCTCAATGTTTTTTATGCGTTTGTGAAAAATGGCATTGGCAGCGATGTGACATGCAGATTGGTTATCACAATACAGTACGACATTTGAAAGAAAGTCGGCATGGAGATCCTATAAGAGACAAGTTAACCATTATATTTCACAGACCGTGGATGTGAGAACACGATATTCAGCCTCTGAGGAAGAGCGAGAAACAATCTGTTGCTTTTTGGATTTCCATGAGATGAGAGAATCTCCTTGGAATATACAGAACCATGTGATAGAGTTCTTTGTGTCACTACATGAGGCTGACTTAGAGTCGCTAAATGCTTTCAGTTATAGCATAGAGGAAGAAAAGAACAATCCTTGGGGTGGTGATTGTTTGATGTATCGAAGCACTCTATAGGCGGCTTGGAGATGAAGAGAAGTTGGAGAAGACATAAATTGGTTGAGTTGTTGAACACTGAAGCTTAAGTCAGGTCGGTTGGTGCATAGATAGATCAATCTACCAAAGAGTTTGCGATAGGCGGTAACATCAGTGGGGGGAGTCATCGATAATGGCGTATTTGTGTGTTTTTTTTCATGGGAGTAGGAAATGGTTTAGCAACAAGAAGAAATGTGTCATAGAGTAATTCTAGGGCATATATGTGTTGGCAAATCGAGATGCCACTAGGAGAGCGTATAACCTCAAGGCCCATAAAAAAACAAAGGTCACTAAGGTCCTTGATTCTGAAGTGTGTGTCAAGAATAGTTTTAAGTTTATGTATGCCATCGATGTCGTTGCCATAAAGGATGAGATCATCGACATAAATGAGAAGGATAATGCATTTTCCACCATGAAAATGAGTGAAAAGATAGTGGTCAGAAGAAGATTATTTGTGATGCAAGGAAAGAAGTAATTAGGAAAGTTTTGAGAACCATTGTCTGTTGGCCTGTTTTAGCCCATAAAGTGACTTCTAAAGTTTGTAGACTAGGGAAGGATCAGAGGGGTTTAAGCCAGGAGGAGGTGTCATGTTAACTTCTTCATCGAGATTCCCATGTAGAAAGGCATTGTTAATGCCAAGTTGAATGAGATGGCAGTTCTGAGATGCAGCAATGGCTAAAAGGAGTTTGACAATTGTCATTTTAGCAACTGGTGAGAAAATGTCCATGTAATTGATACCCTTAATTTATGTGTACCCTTTTGCAATGAGTCAGCCTTTGTGCCTTTTGATGCAGCCATATGCATTGCGTTTGATTTTATATATCCATTTACACCTTATGGTTTTCTTATGTGGTGGTAAAGGAGACATAACCCAAGTGTGATTGTGTTGTAGGGCTTGTAGTTTGACAAACATAGTCTAATTCCAACAGTCATGTTGGGAAGCTTGTTTGAATGTCGTTGGTTCAGTTTTAGAGAAGACAAAATGAAGGTAGTGAGTGAAGTTAGGAGGTACATGGTGAGTGTTGGTGTAATGTTGAATGGGATGGAGAGTGGTATATGCAGGTTGATGTTGGGAAGAAGTTAGGTTATTGCAGACGAAATCATCAAGGGGTTTGGGGTTTTGAATTATTATGTTGGAGACACGAGAAATAACAGGTGGGTTGAGGAAGGAATGTTGTTGTTAAGAGATTGTAAATATATGGAGGTGATTGTATCAAGGGGTGGAGTGGTTAAAGAATAAAAGGTAAGTTATAGTGGGGTGATGGGAAGTTAAGGTTGTGATGTGGAAATAGTGGGTTTTACAGAAGCAGTATGAGGCATGGGATCTCCAGGTGCATCAAAAAGGGAAGATAATAGTCAATGATTTTATAATGGGTGGGAGAATCCAGGCTTAAAAGTGGGAAGAAGGGAAAGACATGTTCATAAAAAAGAAACATTTCTGCTTACAAATATTTCACGCGTAGATGGATTCATGACAATGAAGCCTTTGATGCCTTGTTTGTAACCAAGGAAGATGTGTTGAAACAAATTTGGTTCATACCATGTATCCTCCAAGGTTTTGATGATAACAAAGTATTTAAACAACAATTAGGATTTCTAACTAGCTGTTTTTGTGTATATAATTATATTTATTTGATGAAATTGGTTCTGTCACAGAAGAAGCTATGGTTCGAATCTGATTGAGTACTTGTGAGAAAGCCTTATCAGAAATTTATCAATATCACATTTCAGAGTCAGAAGCGTGCTATACTTGCCTCTGAAATTGAGTAATGACAACTCATGCTCAAAAATCACAAAACTCGAGAATAGTTGAGATTATTTTCAAAAGATTGTGTTGTACTTGTTTGAGTTGTTTCACATAAGAGTTCTTTGGACAAAGGCCTTGTTAAGTGGATAATTCTTTGCCTACAAGTTCCAACATTTGCTTTATTGGAAAAGAAGATGTACAAGAAGATTTGATCTGAATATAGTCGTTTAGTTGCTTTAACGACTCTATGTCTTCAACTATAAAAGGAGCATAAGAATTGAAGATCAACTAAGAGAATAACACTGCAGCTACAACTGAAATATATATGCACTTCGCACGACTTGTAACAGTTCAAGAGAACCTAATATGTTTGGAGTTCTTATTCTTGTATAAGTTAAGAATCCTTAGTGATAAAGTGTGTTGTATTATAATTGAACACCTCTGATTGTTAATCAAGTGTTGTTATAGTTTATTCCTTCTCTAAACAGTCAGTTTAGATAAAAGTATTTTGCCTTGGGCTTGAGCAGTGAAGTCTTAGATTCGTGAAATTTGAGCAAGAAGTCTTGAATCCGAGTGGACTGGAGATCTAAGCAAGGAAGTCTTGAACCTGAGGGGTTTAAGCAGGAAAGTCTTAAGATCTGAGGATCTAAGCAGGAAGTCTTGATCAAATGCTGATTAAGCAAGGAAGTCTCAGGATGAGGGTCTGAGCTGAAAAGTCTTATACTTGAGTGTATAAGAAGTTATAATCTGGTTGATTATAGTGGAAATCTCTTGCGCTGCAAGGGGAATGGACTACTCTCAGTTGAAGAGGAACCAAGATAACTTTTATGTGTTCTCTGCCCATTTATTTACTTATGTCGTTCTATTCATTGCATTTATTAATCAGAGTCTGAGCTTCTGTTTAGATTCTAAACTCTAATCAGAAGTAGAAAAGATTTTGCAAACAGAATTCAACCCCCCCCCCCCCTTCTTGTGTATTTTTCTCACCTTCAGTTGGCATCAGACTAAGGTTTGTGCATAACATTTAACAGTGGTACAGATAAAGATCCAACGAGAAAAATATGTCTAATGAGGATCCTACTGCTAGTACCTCAGGAAGAGGGTTTCCCCATGATTATAGTGGTTCTAAGAGAAATCACTACTCTGTTAAACCTCTTGTATTCAATAGAGACTTCATTGAGTTCAAATGGTGGAAAAGCAAGATGTACATGTATATCGTTGGACTTAATGATGAGTTATGGGATATACTTGAATATTGTATTAAGATCACTATTGACAATGTTGGTATGGTATCTGACAGAAAAACCTTGACTCCAGCTCAAAAGAAAATTTATAGAAAACATCACAGTGTTAGAGGTATTTTGGCCGATGCTCTACCACATACTAAGTATC